ATCCCATCCATCCATATCCATCCATCCAGATCCTGTCCATCCATATCCATCCATCCATATCCATCCATCCAGATCCTATCCATCCATATCTATCCATCCAGATCCCGTCCATCCAGATCCCATCCATCCAGATCCCGTCCATCCAGATCCCGTCCATCCATATCCCATCCAGCCAGAAGTTCTGCCCATTGTAACTCCAGGACACATGCGGGCTTCTCCATTCTCGGCCCCTCCTGCGGAGTCCGCTGCATCCTTGCCGGCTCTGACACCCTCCTGCAGACTGCTCTGCTTCCACCATGGCCTCCTGGTGCTCCACCCTTCGGAGAGGTCCTTCAAGTTACACTATGTCATTCTCCTCCTGACACACCCTCCAACGGCTTCCAGTCACTCCACGAAGGAAATCCAGGCTTCTTGCCTTGGCCTAGGAGGTGGTTTCTGCCCCTCCCCTCCTCTCTGCCTGCCCCATCCTGCACCATCCGCAGTGCTTTCTTTGCATTTTTTGAAGATGTTGATTACTTGTTTGGTGCTTTGCATAGTGCTACTGAAAACTCTTGACTGTAAGTTTAAAATACTAGTTATTTTACTGTTTGCATCTTCTTCCTCTGGGACTCCCAATTTTATGTATATTGGATCTTTTCTACTTCTGATCCTTTTGCCTCTTTTATTTCAGTTTTGTTTTCTTTTCACATCCATCCTCTGTGTCTGCCACTGTCAGTCTGGTCATACATATTGTCCCTGTTGTGCCCTCATTTTAGAAAGGATTTAGTTATTTTTCCCCCCGAAATGGGGTCTTGCTGTGTTGCCCAGGCTAGACTGCAGTGGCACGATCATGACTCACTGCAGCCTCAACCTTCTGGACTCAAGCAACTCTTCCACCTCAGCCTGCCGAGTAGCTGCTACCACAGGCGTGGGCCACCACACCCAGCTAATTTTAAAAATTATTTGTAGAGACAGGGTCTCATTCTGTTGCCCAGGTTGGTCTTGAACTCCAGGCCTCGTCTCCCAAGGTGCTGTGATTACAGGTGAGAGCTACTGCCTGGCCGAATCTATGTTTTATTTCCATTTCTTTCCTGAATTTAGTCTGCTCTCGTTTGTATCATCACATTGTCCGTCCATTTCTATTCTGAACTTTTGAATATCAGATTCATGGTGCCACTGCTTGTTTTGTTATATGTTTAATTCACGTTGGAGTATTTTGTTCATTTTCCTGTTTCATTTAAACAGTTGTCTACTGGGAAGTTTTAACTCTAATGTTCTGTCTTGTTCCTGTAACTTTGTATGGATGGTGCTTTTTTGGAGGTTCAGGATTATTCGTGTTAGGATTTTCTACACAGAAAGAGCCACTTCTCCTGTGGGTGGGACTAGGGGCTTTGGTGGCATCCTACATTTCTTCACTTAAAAGTGCCACATCAAACCTATATCTTTGGCATCATCTCAAGTTCCTTTGACTGCCTTCTTCCTTCTGAAGGCTCCATCCACGTTCCGTATCATCCTGCCACCAGGGGCCAGCCAGTCTCTTACCCAAAAGAGCTGGGCCTTCCACTGGCTCCATGCAGTCACGCTGAGTGACCACAAGCCCAGAGTTTCCTAATCTCCTTCCACCCACAGATGCAGGTGAAACGCCACGTGTATGGGCATGGGCTCTGGCGTCCGAAGTGGGCACTGAAGGGGCTGGACGGTGTAACCCAGGAGTGAGGAGCAGGTAATCCCCCATGGGGCGAGTGCCGACCAGGGGTTAACAGGAGACAGCAAAGGACCAGACAGATAGATTCCTCCTTCTGCTCCCCACACACCCCACAAGGCACATCCTCTCCTTGCACCTGTGTGGAGAGCACTCTGTATGCCAAGCGAACGCACTCGCCAGGGACCTGTGGAACCTCTTCTTGGCTCATCATGAACAGAGGACAAAGAACAGTGCCCTCTGCTGCCGATACAGGGTGGTGCAGTTTCCAAACGCACAAATCCATCCTGTGTGCTCATCTGTCTTCTTCTGACTTCTGGATACTATCTTGCTTCCTTAGGACCCTTATCTTCTGGAACTTTCTTCTTCCTCTACCACCAAGCATCCAAGGAGCTGCACTCCCTTCTGGCTCGCTGCCCTTTCAGAAGCAGGATGGCTGCCCAGTGCCTCGGACTTGACAAGGGAGGTCTCCTCGCAGCCCCGTCTCCTCCATCACCCCATGGTCTGTGTACCGAGTTTCTCTCCTAGCTGAGCCACAGGCGCGGGCTGAGCAGCCTTCTTTGATCTCAAGGAGCTATGCTGTTTTTTGAAGGTGTGCAGAGGTTTGAATTTACGTGAATCATCCTCTGCCATACCTTTGACTTAATTACCTTGTTTTTTGCAGGTCAAAATGCTGTTTGGTGAAGAAAAATTAGCCCAAAGCTATTTCCGTAACGTGACCACCATTAATTTTCCAAAACCAGGTACTAACAGGAGTCAGCTGATAAGCCGGGCATGGTGGCTCATACCTGTAATCCCAGCACTCTGGGAGGCTGAGGCGAGCAGATCACTTGAGGCCAGGAGTTCAAGATCAGCCTGGCCAATGTGGTGAAACTCTGTCTCTACTAAAAATAGAAAAAATAGGCCGGGCGCGGTGGCTCAAGCCTGTAATCCCGGCACTTTGGGAGGCCAAGAGGGGTGGATCACGAGGTCAGGAGATCGAGACCATCCTGGCTAACACGGTGAAACCCCATCTTTACTAAAAAATACAAAAAACTAGCTGGGCGTGGTGGCGGGCACCTGTAGTTCCAGCTACTCGGGAGGCTGAGGCAGGAGAATGGCGTAAACCCGGGAGGTGGAGCTTGCAGTGAGCTCAGATCCGGCCACTGCACTCCAGCCTGGGCAACAGAGTGAGACTTCGTCTCAAAAATAAATAAATAAAAATAATAATAAAATAAATAAATAAATAGCTGGGCATGGTGGCGCACTCCTATAATCCCAGCTACTCAAGAGGCTGAAGCAGGAGAATCACCTGAACCTGGGAGGTGGAGGTTGCGGTGAGCTGAGATCACACCACTGCACTCCAGCCTGGAAGACAGAGTGAGACCCTGTCTCAAAATAAATAAATAAATAAATAAATAAGTAAAAATAAAGTGAATCTTTTAAGTAGACACTAAAGTCTTTGTTTAATCTATACACTTAAAAGTTTCAATGTTCAAGTTGGCCAAAACTGTTTTCCCCCTGGCTATCATGTTGAGCAAATAGAGTTCACTTTCTATCTGGACAGTCATATGTGGGTATTTCTCTGTTGCCAAAATACATCCCAGCCTGTGGGCGAAGGATTACCCAGGTGCCGAGGCAAGAGACTGAAGGCACAAACTGTTTCAGTATAACACAGAAAACAGTTATAAGAATAGTCATAATACAAATTAGATAGATGATCATGGACATTATTGATCATTAGCATCAACATTATTAATCACTAGCTTTTGATATTACTCTTTGATGTATCAGTCATATTACCAAGGAATAACCCGTGGGTACAGGGTCAGGTGCTGAAGGGACATTGTGAGAAGTGACCTAGAAGGCAAGAGGTGAACCTTCTGTCACGCCGCATAAGGGCCGCTCGAGGGCTCCTTGGTCAAGCGGTAACGCCAGTGTCTGGGAAGGCACCCGTTACTTAGCAGACCGTGACAGGGAGTCTCCTTTCCTTGGAGGAGTCGGGGAACACCCTGCTCCAGCAGCTTCTTGTGGGAGGCTGGATATTATCCAGGCCTGCCCGCAGTCATCTGGAGGCCTAAACCCCTCCCTGTGGTGCTGTGCTTCAATGGTCACGCTCCTTGTCCACTTTCATGCTCCTCCCGTACTCCTGGTTCCTCTTTGAAGTTCTTAGAAGACAGCGGTAGAAGAAATAGTGAAAGTCTTGAAGTCTTTGATCTTTCTTGTAAGTGCATAGAAGAAAACGCTGACGTATGCTGCCTTTCCTCTCTGCTTTGGCTACCTAGCAGGGAAGGGCCCCCTGTCCCACGGTCACATGACTTGCTTGACCTTGTCAATCACTTGGACGACTCACTCGCCTTACCCTGCTCCCTTGTCTTGCACGCAGTAAATATCAGCGCGCCCAGCCATTGGGGCCACTAGCGGTCTCCGCATCTTGGTGGTAGTGGCTCCCCGGCCCAGCTGTTTTCTCTTTATCTCTTTGTCTTGTGTCTTTGTTTCTTACGATCTCTCATCTCCACAGATGGGGAGAACACCTGCTAAGCTCTGTAGGGTCAGACCCTACACCAGCCAGTTCAGATTACAGTATCTACCTGGCTCTGCAGCCACTGGATGAAGTTCAGGGGTTTTGGGGCTGGGGCGGCCTCCCCAACCTGGAGGAGGGTGTGTGTGCCCCCGGCATGGTGGGTTCTGCATCGTGTCAGAAAGACACAGCGTCTGAGCTCTGTCGGGTGACAGGGAGGTGTCGGGACCGGCACGCAGGTGGTCAGCATGCGGCGGGGAGGGGCTCCTGTGGTGCCAGGTGAGGAGGGGAGTCTCAGGGCAGCTCACCTTGAACATGTGAAAAGCTCATAGGGAGCCACGAGAGGTTCCAGGAAGAGGGCTGGGCACGCCCAGGCCCCAGCCTCCCTCCTCCAGGGGAAGGCAATGTCAACACCTGCAGTGCGGGAGGCTCACGAAGCCCTTACCTGAAGCCGCTTTCTCGTCTATGCCTGCTCTCTATCTGCTCAAACTCCTCCGAGGCCAGCACCATCCCACTGTCCGTCTGGTTGTCCTGTGTGAAGAGGACAAGCCAGGCTGTGGGCCCCGCCTGAGGCCCTCCTGCAGGGCAGCCACCCCCAGCCAGGACAGCGCGGCATGACCCTGCGGTGCAGCTGACCTAACACCCGTCCCTGAGACACTGAGCTGGAAACAAGGTGTCCATTCCATCCCAGGGTGAGGGTCACATGCCCCTGCCACGGAGGCAGACACTGAGGTCGGGGGCTGTGTCTGGCCCGTGGACACCTCACACTGGGGGACCTCCATGGTGGCCAAGCCTACGCTCAGTGTGCAAAGAGCAGGAGCCGCGGGAGAACCAGGGAGAGGACTCACAACCCGGCAGCTCATAGTTCAAAAAACGGTCATTGTGAGGCTGCCTCCCGACTCTGCGGGCTTTGTTACCCTTTCACTGTGGCTTGGTGTGGTTTTTATTCTGAATCACACGGGAGGGAAACTGCGATCTTTTCAGAGTCCCCCAGTGTCTTCAAGTGGCCCTGAAGGCAGGAACCCAGGTCCCTGAGGTCTGGCCAAGGGCTCCCATGGGGCCCCTCTGCCCAGCGCTCACTGACCAGGCCCAGGACTCCCGAACCTGCCACCGAGGAGGAGGAGGAGCTGTCCTTCCACTGGGGTTTCTGCACTGCTGAGGAGGGGAGGCCTCGTGTGGGGGTGACGAGGGCATAGGACAGAAAGCAGCTGTGAGACGTGGCATCGTAGGAGGGCCCAGATGTGCCCAAGGCTCTCCCTGGACTTGCATTTTCTTTTTTTGAGATGGAGTCTCCCTCTGTCGCCCAGGCTGGAGGGCAGTGGCGCGATCTCGGCTCACTGCAAGCTCCGCCTCCTGGGTTCACGCCATTCTTCTGCCTCAGCCTCCTGAGTAGCTGGGACTACAGGCGCCGCCACCACGCCCAGCTAATTTTTTGTATTTTCGGTAGAGACGGGGTTTCACCATGTTAGCCAGGATGGTCTCGATCTTCTGACCTCATGATCCGCCCACCTTGGCCTCCCAAAGTGCTGGGATTACAGGCGTGAGCCATCGTGCCCGGCCTAGACTTGCACTTTAAAACGATAGTCTTTTCTGTTAAAAAGCCTGCAATTGGTTTCTGCCATTTGCCTTACAAATTTCCGAGGCTGCCTCCCGAGGTGGCCCCAGCCCTGACCCGAGAGCACAGCCCCCGCCCTTCATGTGAAGTACCACAGAGGCCTTGTAGGTCATTGGGGTCATGGGGAATTCTTCAAATGTCTTCATCCGGGAGGAACCATGGGTCTGAGTCCCTCTGGCCAGGCACCCGGGAAAGGACACCCAGTTGTAATACCTGTGGAGAGAAATCAGAAGGTACTGAGGAATGCACCCCAACAACTCTCCTCAAAGTTCTCTCTGCTGTCCCTGTGCCTCCTCTTCCCCTGGAAAGGACCCCCAGCCTGGGGCAGGAGTATGGACGGGCCTGGGTCTGAGTGCTGGCAGGGGCTCCTCCGTGGGCCTGGCCTCAGATGTCTACCGCACAGCCTCAGCAGCAGGGCCTGGGTGTGCACCTCCACCCTGGGCCGTGTTTCCTCCCGAGTCCACTGCTGAGCTCTGTGATGGGAAGTGAGGGGCATCCAGCCCCGTGGGGCATGGAGCTCCTCCCGGGGATGGGCTACCCTGGGCCAGCCAGGCAGCCCCGGGGCTGCAAGCTGCCGACTGCCCTGCCCACACGTGTGTGCGCTAAGGCACATGTTGTGGGGTTGGTGGAAGGAGCCTGGTAGAATCCAGCTCACTGTGGTTGCCCCGAGGACTAGCCCTGCCATGTGCTGGGGCAGAGCCTGCATCTCAGCAACGCTGGTGTGAATGTGGGCAGCACAGCCATCCTGAGTGTGAAATGCCAGGGATAAGAGAGCCTGGGCAGAGTTCTGGGAATTAAGTTATGTTCTCCTCCTGACCATGCCTCAGTTGGAGACCTTCCCTTCTCCCAGGGACTCTTGGGGACTCACCCCCAGACTAGTCAGTGATTTAGATAATCAGAGACTCCTGGGAGGAATATTGGCCCAAACACAGTCCACTCCACCTCTCCGTGAGAAAAGCACCCTTGTCGGGCGCGGTGGCTCACGCCTGTAATCCCAGCACTTTGGGAGGCCAAGACGGGTGGATCACAAGGTCAGGAGATTGAGACCATCCTGACTAACACAGTGAAACCCCGTCTCTACTAAAAAATGCAAAAAATTAGCTGGGCGTGGTGGCGGGCGCCTGTAGTCCCAGCTACCTGGGAGGCTGAGGCAGGAGAATGGTGTGAATCTGGGAGGCAGAGCTTGGAGTGAGCTGAGATCCCGCCACTGCACTCCAGCCTGGGTGACAGAGCGAGACTCCATCTCAAAAAAAAAAAAGAAAAAGAAGTACCCTTGATGTTGGGGTGAGGGGACACTGGTGGGTGGACAGGACTCAAAAACAAGCACGCAGCCAGGTCACATGGCCTTGGAGGGGACCTGCAGTGGGTCATTTACAGCCGCTCTGTGCTCTGGGTTCGTGCACACTGGTCTCTGACGTCGTATGATTTGCTTTCCCCCAAAGACGCAGAGGGATAAAATGCACCCTGTCCACATGGCTTTCTCCCACCCCATTCCTGGACCCACAGGACAGCTGACCTGGCTGCCAGGCTGTGGCGCTGCAGGCTTGGTGGGCTGTCCTCAGCGTCAGCCTGGGCGATGTGTAGGGCCACGGTGGACACCTGCGAGAAGCTGCCCTCTTCTGAGCTCTGAGAGCCACGTGGGGCCATGCAGGCCTCCTCTTCCTCCTGGCGGGGAACAGGAGAGGCAGCCGGGCCAGAAACCACCAGTCGCTGCCCTCAGCCCTCGCCCCTGCACTTGGGACTGCTTGGGCTCCTGAGCCCTGAAATAGGGTCCTAACAGACCATGCGGGCACGTGAGTGCTCCAAGAAGGAATCGAGCTCGTGCAGAAGCCAGCACACTTCAGCCGTCACGACAGGTAAGGGGTCAAGGTAGCAGAATGCCGGCTGTGCCAACCTCACCAAATTCTCCCAACGGCCCTTCCAGGTACCTCGTTTACGGATAAGGCAGGTAGGGCAGGCCGGGGCTCGGCCGGATCATCTGTCCTCCAGCCCCCGGCTGAGCCTGCAGCCTCAGGAACTGGGGCCAGCACTTCCTACCTTCTCTGGATGGAACTAGAGCCACAGCACCCATCCCAGTCCCTAGGCCTGGGCAACAGGCCGCTCCCGGGTCCTTGCTCCAGGCCCCACTTTGAGCTGGGTCACGAGCAGGTCCATCCCCCACCCTGGAGGAGCACCACGTGGGGAGGGAGAGACGTCAGGACACACAGGTCAGGGGTCCCTGTGCTCAGTGGAGTGGGGGACAGAACCGGGACCAGCTGAAGGAATGCATCATGATGATGCCAGCGAGATGGGGCTGCCTCACAGGCCAGTGGGGACCAGCCTAGGATTCCCCTTGGGCAGGGACAGGCTCTGACTATCCACACAGCATCTGGAACAGGCAGCGTAGGTGTGCAGTGGGCGTGTGCTCAACAGAAAGATGCAAGGGTGTGGGGACGAGGTGTGGGTAGGGGCCCAGGACCGCACCACCCAAGCCTAGACGTGGGCAGAGCCTAGAGGGGCTTGGAGGGGCAGCTGGGGCCAGGGACCCAGGGCAGGGGCCAAAGGCCACAGTAGAACAG